CCCTCCCGCTTTAACTTTGAAATCAACTCAAATAAAGTTGTTATAAAGGATTTCCACGCCACTTACGATGAATAGTCGTCGCACCGCGTTCTGTTCGATATGGAACTCATAGCGACGTATAGAACGTGTGTAAAATACAATGTCTATTTACATGAGAAACATAACAAAATTATATTGTTATCGTATCAACAGGCAATTTATCAATGAGAAGTTGAGAGCATAACCAATACGCTTTCTGCCATGTTTGCTGGTGAGTACAAATGAGTCAAAGGAGTAAGTATAGGTCGGCGATAGTTTCGACAAATTCGATTACTATGACAATCAGAAAAGTATTGTCAATACGCGATCAAATACAACGACATTACACTTGTGGCATGACAGGGCGACGAGTTGCTTGGGTATTTCCATCCAGCATAGTCTACTTTTTAAAAGTATAACCTAGACATAGGTACTCGTGCTAATGTATTCAACAACACTTGTTTAAATACACATTTTCATTGCAGCTAATTCTAGACAGTGAAAGTACAAAGAATTCAGTAGAGCAAACACACTATGAAAAGTACACATACAGTCCTAGTTCCACATTGGACGCCAATTTGTTACCTGTATTCACATTGTAATCAATTTCGGATACATATATATGTGAATAAAGGAACGAAGGAATTTTGTAGATTACGCCGACTTGTTTGAGTCGGTAATAGTGATAAGGTGTTTTGCCGTAGTCATGAGTTCGAGTTTTGTGCGTTGTTGTTATACTTATAACAGTGGTATAATTATGTACTTGTGACAACTGCACACTAACTATGTGGTTTCGGTTTTTCTGAAGTTCCATTATCATTTGTAATACAAATTGATAAAATAAATAATGTTATTCAAATTCACCAAATCAAATACGCACGTAACGTAAATTGTGCCCTTACAATAAAACAGCAAAGTATATATAACATATTCTAAATTTTTTGTATAGTTATTTTCACTTTCCAAAAGGAAATCCATTTGTTATACATTATATATTACTATACACAATAAATAAAACTGATAAAATCACGTCCACGAATACCATTTATATACTAGTACCCTATTTACATATATCCTGAAAAATCAAAACACAAATAATCTATTGTGATATATATGCAGGCAATTGATGAACCACGATACATAGTTTCAGTTCAGCCAATTGAGTCAATGTTCATCCTTTGCAACTGCAAAAAAAATAAATAATTACAGTTATTACGTGGATTTGTTAATAATCCGCAAACTCGTATTTATATATAAATATATAGATAGTTATCTGCATTTATACGGCATTGTCATTTTGTAGACAATCGTGTGACCTCTAGATCTAGTCGAGATATCTACACTTAATACACATATTCTGTTACCTTCCTGGGACAAGCCAACCATCACCGAATTCGTTGATAATATCGACCATCTTCAGTGTACCATCTTGAATTGGAATTTGCATATCATTATCCGGATCACTATCTCCATTGCCCAATAATCCACACACTTTACCAAACATGGATTGGTCAAGAATCGGAGCCACTCGGCCACTTCCATTCCATTTCAAAACAAATTTGGATTTCAATGTAACTTTAATAATCTCACGGTTAATTCGTTCTACTGTTATGTTGCCATAGTTGAAAGGAGAGGCAACACTTCGTAATTCACCATTCACCTGAATATAAATGTAGAGCTCAAACGTTTTAGAATTTTCCTATTTAACATAAATTCACTCGAATATCGAATAAAAACTAGACGTCGTCCTAAGTTCAAAGTGTTTCCACGCGTAAATGGTCACCATTTTATGGTATAAAAACACAGCCCTGTTTATATTTTATAAATAAAATTTAAATTATACAATCTCAAAAAGTGTATTTGTGTATGAAGTATTATGCAGTGAAGTCTTTCCAATAAATTAATTATTAAAATGATGAAATATTCCTCGTCCTCCTTTTCTCGAATGAACAACTATACAAATATTTTTAAAAACGTACTATATCACATGTTTCTGAAACACAAGAGTCAGGGTGGTGTTGGTATAACACAGAGTTATCTAATTTATAACTTTGAACTATTTAGAAGCATCCAGTGTTCGGATCGAATAGATTTAAAATGATTTGAAAGTTTTTTTACTGAAAACAAGTCTAAAGTAAGCTATTAGTGGCAGTAGTAACTGTAACTAAACTAAACTAAACTAGATTCCTACACGTTTTAGCAAATTAGTCTTAAACTAAAAGTATCCAAACTTGAACACTGACCGACATCAAAGTTATTATATACATAAGTTACTATCAAGCTTCTTATTTAGTAATACAACAATAAAATAATAATAAACAATAACAAGTTGACAAAAGATATATACGAAACAATTAAATATTAAGAATATCACTCAGTCTTACATAAATATCTTGTTTGATCAAGTTAACGCGAATGTCCTCCAGCACAACAAATACTTCGTAAACCACCATTTTCTTGGCATCTTCAATGAAGTGGTGGCGAATCAAGACAGAGAAAGATGGACGATGTACACACTCTTGAAATAGAACATATACACAACCATCTCGACCGTCATATTTGAAATTTTTTCCATCGAATGAATAAAAAAACGGGTCAGCTTTAACGGACACCACATTCTTTATTTTTCCTTTGAATAATAATATATATATGACATTAACTAAATCATTGAACATTTAAATATTCACAAGTAGATTTGTTTACCCCTTGTTTGATTTGTCTACTACACTATGTCGTAAGTATCGATCGCAAACGTTGTCTATTTTGAAATTGCTGTGTACCCTTACAGGTCGTCGATTGCCCGTATAATTTTATATGCCAATTGTGAAAGCAATTGAACATAATGGGAATATGAATATAACTCCCAGTTGCTATAATTATAATTTGTTGTGAAACTATTATCACATATAGTCGAAAAAACAAAATGGCAAGGAAATTACAAATACGAGACCCAGTATCCATAGATGTAGTTTCCCTTTACATTGATGGGGGACACATATTTAGCTCAGGCTTACTCGGGGTACGTTGACCCATTACTAACAACGGTTCTGATCTCCCCCAAATCACTAGTTCTCATCGCCTTGAAGTGAGTGAACAATCGCCGCGAGTTGGGACATCCCGTAAAGAATCTAAAGCAGTAAACAAGATATATCGTGGGTAATCATGGCAATTGCTTCCGGCGTGTGTGCATTTCTGTCCAGTGACACAACAAACTGCATCATGTGTATTTAATGCGTGCCAAGAAAACAAAAACACTCGTCACAAACCATATGAGCTAGCACATGGGTGCCACACAAACCTACCATGGTTTTTACAAAGACGCCATGGTGATGCAGATAAATTGGGAATACTAAATTATAAAATACTACATTATTCAGCTAATCGACGACCAGAAACAAGAATTTAAACACAACCAATCGATACATGTGAAGAAGAAGCAATTTTGGTGTTCTTAGAGTCAGATATAAATCTGTTGTAATTGTTTTATGTTGTACACAGTTCCCCTCATTCATTCAGGGATAGCGACGGACTAAGAACGTACGTACTAAGTATGTAGGAACTGAATATCACAAACAACAAAAAGAAAAAACTTAATCTGCACTTACTTTCTGACTTGGCTATAATATAAAACGAAAAACTAGAATTAGAATTACTAGGATATTGATTTAGTATAAAAGCAGTGACAAATAAGAGAATATATGGATATTATGTATAATCAATGATTTACGAGATAAGGGTATGTAACTGGTGAGATATGAACATCGCGAATTGCCACAAGAGATGATCACAAACAATCGTAAAACGAACGTACATTTTTAGAAAAAAATAATATATCAATGAATGTGAAAGAACTAATACGTTCGATTGACGTGTGCGCATGGAACTTGCACTCTGTCTGTGTGAGGTTTTCGTCATATAGTACTACCTAATAAGGTCAGTTTATTCTGAAATATTTTAACAGACCTTTAGACGAAAATATTGCTTCAAGGCACATTACAGCGCATCTAGTAGCAATAGGATGGAGGTGTATAATATTCAGTAAAGTTACCATTAACGCATTTCAGAATTTGAGAAATTAACGCATTTCTATGTTCGAGGTTTGGTTGAAGCGATTGTAAACTGTCCTAGTGCATGTATTGTATATATGAATAAATAAATACTGAAAATGTTTAATGTGAATACAGATGGACATTTTGTAATATTTGGTAATCTCAGATAATCGTTGATTGACTGAATTTTACTCACGTTTGCAGCAAACACAGTCCATTGGGCATTTGGTGTTCTGTGATTCCTGTTGTGTGATCGGATCACATTGTCTTTGACATTTCCCATGTATTGCACTGCAATTATCGTCTGTAAGGTAATAATGGTTGTCAAATCATGGCAATAATACGGTACTATTTGTTTATTTTAATTACACAGTTGAAGAATGTAATGTATTACGTTAATTTACTGAAATCGACTACATATTAAATTTCATTTTCGAAAGCCTTCCTATTATGATTTTTCAATTTACGTTGGTGGTCAGTGTCTTTATATAACACAGTAGGAGAGACTTTCAGGGCGATCTTAACAAAAGCCGTGCCACTAAAAAGAACGATTGCACGCGCTCTTCACGAATGGGTTACAGGTCGAAACCACACAAAGCACATTACTAAATGTCTGTATTATCTATGCTTAGACATTTAAAAAAAATATCATATCTGGTGTGTAATCGTTGTGAACATTTTCATAGCAGTATTATATTTCCTGGGCAGAGGGGTTTCGTTTTGTTCGTTGAATGCAGAGACGGCAATAAAATGGGGAGGGGGCATCTGAAGCAACGTTCTAAAAAAGGTAATGACAGTGTTCACACCATGACATAGATCGTTGAATTGATAAACGTAGACAATGTGAATAAATATTGTCTGATATTTCACTTGGCTAACAATATATTGAGAAATAACATCTGAAATATAGATTTAGACATTCAGTGAGATTGTTCTGGCCTGTATAAAAATCTGATAGAGTCCCCCCTTCAAAAATTAGATTAGATTAGCGTACTGATTATTAAATACATGTAATTGGTCAAGAAGTATTTTCCAGCAATTGCGTGGTGGCACACTTTGCTTAATAAATATATTCAGAATATAGAAGTAGGTGATCACAATTCGAGAATATCAAATAACGTATGCACGGTGTTTCGTACACGCTTTGCTGCCATTTACTATTGTGAAATACCACAGACATATACACTACTAAAGACAATTTGATCTGCTATTAATAATTCAAAAAAATTAATTAATCACCAAAATTATAAACAAATCTGAAATAACTGTATGTCAGAAAAGGATAAAGGAGTGTTGAACTTACTGCAAAACTGACTGCAAGGGACTGGTGGGTCAGCTATTCGAATCTCTATAATAAAAGGAAACAGATCATTTATTAATTTGTTAAATATTATTCATTCATTCACGTAATCATTACGATATCAAATTGGATTATGTAATGAACAACGTCATTTTCATCAGGTCAATGACCATGGTACTTTATTTAAATTCAAATTGTCTTTCAATATTAAACCATATTACGACTATTGTAGATAAGTCTTTCAAAGAAATTGGATATTGACCACATTTATGGTATACATACACGTGAACACATTAGAACGAGTGTGTTAAAAACTTGTTTTACTCAGTATGCTAGTGAGAAATATACTTATTAACGTTCTCACTTTAGAATTGCGCAACGCCGAAATGAATTGAATATGATGTTCTTGTACAAATTAATGGTCCTATAGTATGTATGACTCGGATTATATCGTATTCAAGTGGCATGTCTTAGCTTAAAACTGAACGGTGTGCTCTGAAACAAGTGTGCATCTATTTTAGGTTTCGTGGTTTCATTCATTTTGCTTTTCAATCCAATAAATATGGTTAGAAAATGTTATTGACTGTCTCTATATTTTGTATTAATCTGTATAGAAACTAATAATCAGATGTAGTAATTTGTCATATTGTAGTGTCGCGTAAGTCGCAGTAAGTAAAGGTGTCATAAAATACACTATTGCTATGTCATGTTCAAATACCCTACATACACATTAAATGCCATGCTGTTCAAGAAAACGCTACATATAATTGATTTTGAAAGTATGGCCTTTATAAGTTGTTTACACCCCATAATGTTTGGCAACCAAGAAAATAATATGAAACGACTTACTGTTTATACGAGAACAACAGACGCAGCCTTTTCCATTGGGGCATTGTTGTCCATCTGGTGGGTTTTCTCTAAAGTCATTCACCACAATAGATGTCCTTGTGCACGTGTCGCGGCATATACCTTTTAACACATGGTTCACATCGTTGTCATATTGCACCTTGCATCTTGTGTTACTACGAACTACAGGTTGAGTTATGACGTCAGTAAGCGATTTTATTAATTATCATTAATTCATATTAAGTCATACAAAACACGAGTAAAATGATAAAAGGCTGTTACACACCTTGGCATACTGGTTCGACAGCTTAAGTGGAAAGAAAGATGAAAATATTACTAGCATCTTAACAAGCCAGTCGTACTGAACTATACGAATGAAGCTCAATCATAATTTCGTCTGTTTTCACATAAACTTTTGTTTTTAATTTCGTCTTTTCAGTTAATTCCATTAATGCCTACAACTGGTGAATTAACATCTTAAAACATTTTAGTTATTTACGCTTTGTGTTTGACAGTGTGCCTTTAGGAATCAAAATCACAAAATTCTGGATTATTTATATGTCTCTAATTTTTACTTTAACGGCGATGAAAATGTAGCACTTCTTTTGGAAACCAGTGACACTATTTCAAACGCTGTGCTCTGATTCGTCACAGGAAAAATTGTACTATGTTCTTAATCACCGGGTACACGAAAAGTGATTCCTAAATAACCCGACATTATTTAATTTGTTTTTCTTTCGTTGCATAACGGTGACAACAATTCTGATTTTAATTGTTATTTTTGTCAAAAACCGGTAGCAATCTGAAAAGCGTTTGTAACTTTATACATCACATTTTCGCCTAGTGAATGCGAATACATGCATCAATTGTACAAACATTCATATCTATGCAAAACAATGTAATATCCGCTAACAATACGCAACAACTCGAAATTAGAAAATCTTCTGGTCGAATAATAATAATAAAATAAATTGAAATTTTGCATGATGTAATCGGATTTTCAGATTATAGATGAGAAAGTGATCCGGACACATTGCAAAATACAATGTAGCCATCTACAACGACATTATAATTTTCATAATTGATTGTGTACGGATATTCTATGACAACATACTTTCAAACAAGAAACAACATTAATCTGTCAGTTGTAATTATAGAACGTCACAATAATGTTTAAAAGCTTAGTAATTCTCAAATAAACTAACACTGCTGACACAGCCCGTACGACTCATGCAAAATATATCGCAATACTCAGATG